CTCCGTGCGCCTGCTCTTTGTTCTCAAAACTCGGACTTAATTTCAGTTCCTAATGTCCACAATTCCCAGAGCTATGAAGGAACTTTCTAACAGCCAATTCCTGACCCATGAGCTTTGTTTCTGTGTCTTGTGTTATTCGTCTTTCTCTGTCGTGATAAATGAATGGCGTTTGGAGCCGCGTGCGTCCACGGAGGAGCAGGGCCTGGAGATTTGATGTCAGAGCAATTGCGGCGACGGTTCATCAAAGTCAAAACTCGATTCCTGTGTAAATTCGTTTTTTATTAAGAGGCAACGATGGATGGCCGACAACCAGCGTCTTCGATGCGAGGCAAAGGCCGCAATCCTCTTACCTGAACACGCATGCAAGAGAGCAATAACCGGGAACTCCACAGAAAAAGATATTGCCTCAAAAGCAAGGCATGTGCGTTCTTTATTCACAAAGACACTCAAAGGCGCTGCAGGGACTTTATATTCTACCCACAATAACGGGATTTGCGTAACTCACTAAAGTTCTCAAAAATGGATTCACCAAATTTTTCGTTTCACGTTGGAATGACCAAGCGTTGCACAGATTCCATTCTAGTTGTAAAATCTCATTTTTAATGTTCTCTTGGCCACACTCAATATCCCTCCGAAATCCATGCACGTCAGTGGTGGCGAATTGTCACTGTCATGTGTCGTGGCCGTTGGGGACGTGTTTATGTGAATACACTGATCGCCGAGCGGCATGAAACCTGCCAAGATTTGACATGCATACCACTAAAATTTTGTAAATTTATCTCATATTCCCTCGGCTCATCAGTAACATATAACCTACCGGTAAGCCTCTGGGATCCATGGAGATGTGCCTTCCAGTAACGGCTATGCATTTGGAATTTCCTAGGGGACAACTTCTTTTGTTTTTTTCTTGGACAAATATTATGAACAGGTTGCACGAAATACCCCCGATGATTACATTTTACTATTCCATCGCAAAAAAGATGGAAATTTTTGGAAAGTTGCTTTCTTCAGACAAGAGTGCCTGTCACTGGCTCAATGAAGTGTTGCATCGGGAGGGGGTGGTTTTTTTTTTTTTTGAGGTGGGGGTCTGAAAACGACTGTCCAGATTTGTTTAGCCATAGTTCAGTTTAGTGCTGTCTCTCTTTTCCTAAGTAAAATATGCCACTAGTGCCTTAAAGTCATCAATGCGATTTGTTAAGCTTTCCCACGTCAGAATAACCAGTGAAAATTGAAAACCCGGTTGAAACGAGGCGCTCGTAAGGCCCATTAATAACAAAACCCTAATCAACCCAGTAAGTCAGAAACCCCCTTGCCGATATTGAAGAAAAAACACGAATTAATTCAGTAGCCTAAAATAGGAAACCTGAATTTGCTGATCAAACTGTCAGTTCTGGGAAGATCTCTGGTTTCTCACTGGCCGCTTTCAGAGGGCCAGTGCCCGGCCCGATTCACATCCGACTATGCCATTGTTTCAACCTCCACAATTAAGGCAATATTTTGATCAGGTATAATGCCGTGGTCTAGACACACAGACGCAGCGGCCGTTGAATGCAATCGCGAATGTTCCATTAGCTTTATTAGATAATTGCGATTTCGCCCTCTCGTCTCAAAAGTAAGATCCGTTCGGAGGGCTTTTCTCCTTTTTTTTTCCAAGTTAAATTTGAGACCCTTTCGTCGCCAATTGCACCTGGAGCGTGTTACGAGTCGATATCACTTTTCATTGCCGACGTGGGCTTATTTTTTTTTATTTTTAGCAGCCAAATGCTAAGGTCAACGTCCAGTTCCACTTTTTCTGTTTCTAACAGGATTAGGATGAGAGTGGCCACATCCATATCTGTTACATTTATCCAATGAACGCGTTCATCACGCAAAGTGGCCATGTCAGTTTGGGCTGTCCAGCATGTGGTCGAAATGGCCAGATATTTTTCTTTCTGCAGCTGGATGGAGCTTGCTGGTCGCATCGAGCCACCCAAGCCACTGTTTCTAAAGCTGTCGGCACTCAACGTTTTTTCTCCCTAAAAGTTCCGATCGAATTTTAGCCGCAATAACGCCACCTATACGGCTCAAAGATTACCGAGACGCCGTGCTCACGGTGTGACTTTCCAGATGTTCTATTGCAAATATACGTGTGCCTTGACCTTTAAAATTTCAATTTACTTCAATGACGCGAGCAAATGCCTACCCATATTTGTCATATTTATGCCCACTAAGGTTCACACCGAAATGCCAGCTATACATTTTTGGTAGCAGCTAACATTTTTGTTAAGCAACTACATGTATACGTTTTCTCGATCAATGCCATTTCACAAGAAATATCGACCCGTTTAACGCTTGGGCCCGGCAGGATGTGATTTATTTAACGTTCCTTGATAGCTACATTAAATTTTTAACGTGAAAAAGTATTGTTCATATTGTTTGAGCAGTCAGTTAGGCCCTATGTGTTGATTCAAATTCAACGAGTCGTTCTTCTCATTCAAATTTGCCAGATGCCACGGGAATTGGTTGATTCTGAGTTCAATTTATTCGACGATCTCGTGCATAAGATATACCTGGTGTGTGTTTGCCTAATATCAAAGTGGATTTTCCAGGAAAAGACTACTTCTTGTGAATAAATGCACTGGGAAACAAAAACAACTTGAAACATTAAGCCTTTGGTTATCTGTGGCATATCCTTCCTGCTTTGTATTTGCACCAATCTGGATTTTCCAGGAAAGAAAAGCGGAAATGGACAGGGAACTAACAAAGTACTTTGTATAGTGTTTAACAAAAACGATTGCCCAGCCAATATTTCCCCCTTTGTTAACTTTTCGTTTGGAATGGTCAGAATTTTAAACAAAAGGAAACTGAATAGTACCTGTACGCACACTCTCGAGAAAAAAAAACATCCGCATTGATTTCAATCTAATGCAATTTAAATTACCCAAAGAACAGTATCGTGATAAAATAAATTTCTCAAATCAAGACAATATTTATGAAATATGATTTATACCATTAAAGAAAGATGCACAACACCCGATCAATGAAACCATATCACATCCAAATTTAACACTTATTGTTTGAAAAAGATTGATCATAAACAAAAAAGAAAACATCACACACAATAAAACTCCCTGCCGCCTTGGTTAATCTTACAACTTGTGAAAATCGCGATATTAATGTCTATATTAACGAACAGACCGTCTAAAAACACGCACTAATGTGTGCACGAAACGAATATTAATGTGATGTTTCGAGAAAGAAACCTCAGTGTGAACCAGACCGAAAAACGTGAATCAATTTACGCGTGTTGATGAAAATGAACGCCTTTTTGCTGACATTGCTCGGGAAAAGCATTTGCTTGGTCAGCAATAAGAATCGATGCTAATTAAACCTGCCAACTCATTTCTTGGCAAATTAAGGGCAACGGATTTTGTGATCTTCGTGGTTTTCCCCCATTTTAGGAAATACATGTGCTATTCAGAACCTTTTAGCGGTCAGCAATCCTAAATATAATTGGGGAAATATTCGACACTCTGTTCAAATTGTTTCTGGTGGGATATCGATGAGAGTGACACGTTAACTTTGATGTAACCAAAAACTGCGTGTTCCTTATTATTATGATGCGATTTATTTTCACGTACCAGAAATTACGTGTAAGCGAGGCTCTTTTGTGGCGTTGTGCTGTGTCTCTCCCTTTCATGTTACATGAGGGCGCCATTCACAACCAACGGGCAGAGCTGTTTGAGTTTATAGAGAGTCGCGACATGGGTGTCTCAATTGTTGAAACCGAAATGATTAATTATGCGTCAATGCACATGGGGGGTGCAGTGTCCCAATAAGGAATATTCTCCGCCAGGCCGAGGCGCTTAAAAAGTACTCCTACAGATTCTTTCGAAAACAGGGGTCTGTTTTGGGCCAAGAAATTGTGGGATTGTGTAAGTATGCCGTGGGATCATCTCTGTAGATTCAGGGGCACCCAATGGAGGGCAAAGCAGACAAAATGTGACTGAAAATTTGTCAGAAGAGCCCGAGAAAGGTGAGGGATGTCATTTGAAAAATGGCTGCCGAGAAGACTTGGGAACATTCGCTTGGGGGGGGCGGTGAGTTTGTTTTTGGCGGATAATTAACAAGTTCATTGGATAACCTAGACTAAAATTTGAAAATCAAATGAAATCTGAAAGTTTTATTTGAGAGGTCTCAGGGACTTCAGTTGCCTGCCATGGGGCTCCAAATTTGGTTGATATTTCACTGTTTTCAAAGGAGCTAGAATTAGTTCAGTGCACCCATGGACAATTAGCACACAGTAGCCTCATGCTGCACTGCACACATAACGAATAGCCATTTTGCTTCCAAAGTCTGCAGTTGGCACCTCATCATAGTTTAATTAGAATTAAAATTGTAGGAAATGTTCTCACGCGCGCAACCTCACCGAAAAACGCAAGGGATTTTTCCGTCCGTTCCATGATTTATATGGTTGGAAACAAATCATGCCAAATCAGCAGAACCTTCCTTATTCACAATAGTGCGCCTACAAGAGTTTGCAACGCGTTGACCAATTACAGTGCGTGAAATCTGTCGACCCAATGTGCGTTTGGAAAGGGTCGACAGATTTCGCGCATTGTGATTGGTCAACGCGTTGCAAACTCTCGGAAGCGCGCTATTGTGAATCGCCCGAATTGACTGGAATTCATATTTTTTTTTTATTTTTTATGGGTTGATTCAATAAACTTGACTTAAGAATTTTACTTCTGTGAACATGAGATTAAGGTAATTAACGTTTAGAAATTGCCCTGCTTCTTTAGAATATAGGCCTAATGTTCAAGCTTTCAAGAGCTCTTCTTACCCGAGGATAAATGCCCTGATTCCCTTTTGCAGGTTTCCCAAGGGAAGCCAACTACTTTGGTCCTGTACGTGTACGTACATACGTGTACATGTAGGTCTGTGAGTCAGGCACATGAGCGATCGTCGTGCATTCACACATGCACGTACCCACAATGTTATTCCTGAGGCACAGAGATCAGACGAGGTCACACGGAGCACCTCTCGCCATTAGCAATGCGCACTGTGTGAGACATGCAGACTCGACTGTGCACTGCAAACACACTCCGACCTGCTAGTGTTTTCATACAGGTTGTGTAGCGCACTGGAGTACTATGTAATTACATGTGGGCAACCCTGGGTGATTTCATCTATGGTTATTAAGACTGTCGGTCAAAATGGCGGCTAGGCGCACAAAAGAATCCTTATTGTCGGACACCCAGTTCGTTTTCCCAGTCAGCGTTCACGCAAGTGGCGAGGGGAATAGCGAACCGATCGTCCCAGAGGACGGTGTGAACACGAGGCGGAAAGAGGGGTACAGTTTACGCGAGGACCGCAAGCGTTCCTTCGCCGAATTCGACTGTACTGATTCGGACCAGCCCGAGTATCCGTACTCGGACGAAGACGGCGCGACTCCGGCCCCTCGCCCCGCTCGCTCCGTGCCGTCCCTGCTGGATTTTTGCGGGCCGGCCGACGACAGGTCCAGCAGTAAGGTTCGAGTCCGCAATTGGACGCATCCCGAGACCAAGTCGCTGCTGGCCATCTGGAGCGACCCCGAGGTCCAGGCCGAGCTGAAGAGCTCGATCCACAACAGCTGGATCTGGGAGCGGATCAGTGTGCTGATCGGCCAGCGTCACCCGGAGTTCCAGCCACCGCGCACCGCGGCGCAGTGCAAGGAAAGACTGACGTATCTGCGGAAGCAGTACCGGAAGTCGGCCCGACTGCGGGCCCGCGGGAAATGGCCCAATGTTGGAAACATTAAAATTTATCTGGATGAATTGCATAGCGTGCTAGGTGAGGCTATAAACATAATACGGTATCGACTCTAAGTCGTAACGTAGCGCGTTTTTTTAGGCACGGGTAGCATCATTCTTTGAAACAGTTTCTTTTGTGTGTTGTTTTACTTGCTTCCTGCATGCTCACGTTACGCACATCATGAGAAAATCTGTTAGAAAAGTAAATTGGAAAGTAAAATGACACAGTGAAAAAAAACTCGATTTCAAAAGGTGTTTGGTGCCCTAAAATGGATTGAGTTTTTCTAGATCATTTTTAATTATAGTAGAACAATCCATCATAACATACTGAACCGTTGGAAGGCCATGTGTTGCTCAATTGATCACGTTAGGAACTCTTCCGTCAATTTTTTCCTGGCTTTAAGTAAAAATGTTAGAATAACTCTCGAAAAAATATTCGTTTTTAGTCCGAGAGGGCGCTCACACTGAGTAGTCAAAATACACATTGCTCACCCTTGATTGCACCTGTACCGCTGTGCTGAGAACGAATGCCTCAGATTGCTCAGTCACCGGCACCCTGAAGAAGACAGCAATAACTCTTTGAAAATTCTTTTCTTGACGCTCAGGGAAACGCTCTCCGGGGAAGTCGAAATCCACAGCGCCTTCAACGGCGTCTTCATTTAGAGCCAGAGCCACAAACTCGGCCTCGCAACCCCCGACGACACCCTCGGCCGTAAAGGCAGCCCTGGCAGCTCGGCCACAGGCCGCGGAAACGCCTGAGCTGCTTCTCCCGGAGGTTCCGGAGAGCGACTACGATGAAAACGAGGACGACGACGAGGAGGATGGCACCGAGGATTTGGAGGAAACAGACGGGAACGACATGCAGGACTTCTTCGGTCGTAACCAGTCCCAAGAAGCCGAGGATGATCTTCCAGGTACAGTTTGAATGATCGGAGTCTGTTGCCTCTCTGTTAACGTTCAGCCCAGAAAGGAGATATTCTTCTCTCATACCCTATCTTCTTCATACGTATGAAACTTTCTTTTTTTTGTGTGTAACCAACTCGTGAATTGTACGTCAATATTTAAATTTGTTGACAAAGTTATTCATTATTGATAATGGCCCTGATTTTGTTCTGTTGGCACTATTTGAACAAATTACTGGTGGCAGCTAAATATTACGGGAAAAGTCAGTTGCATATTGTAAAGTGTTCGCCGGATCTACATAATACTGAAATGCCATGTACGTGACTTGGTATTGGGCCAGTGAAACAATCTGTTGGTTTTCCCTTCCTTCAGGAATAACCTTTAAAATGTGTTGTTGTTTTTATTTTCTTTGAAAATGTTTTAGTTATAAAGTTAAATTATTCTTAATTATTTCAAGTCAAATCTTATGTTGAACGGGTAAGGTTGAATTACTGGACAGTAAAGAAGGACGATTTGAAGACTGTCCGATATATAATAATTTTGTACTTTTACCGTAGCTGAAATGCCATCCAACCATGACAAAATCACTGAGCCTGGCCATTCATCGTACAATCCCACCGCTGCCACCAACTTGGCCAAGACAAGCAAGAGGCCTGCCTCCTCACGGCGCAACCCTGGGCAACCCCGCGGCCGGCCGAAGGCACCCAGCGGCCCGCCGAGGGACGACCTGACCGTAGCGCAGGCCATCACGGACTCCGTGCAGCGCTTCATCGACCACCAGTCCCACCACCTGACCGAGCAGCACAAGCTCCTGCAGCGCTACCTCAAGTTCGAGCGGGCCAGGATGCGCTGGGAGATGGACATGGAGACGCGACGGATGAAGTGGGAGGAGGAGCGCGAGATGCGAGAGGAGGAGCGGAGGCAGCGGCAGGAGGAGCTAGAGGCCAAGCGGGTTTCGGACAATCGGGAGTTCATGCTGCAGATGGCTGTTGTCTTGGGAAACGGGGAAAGTGGGGCTGGCAAAGACAGTAACAGCTCTAAAAACTGATACATGTACAGCACTTGGCCCAGCTACAACTTCGTGCGACCTAACTGTACATTTACAATCTATTTATTAATTCGACCGTTTTATAGGGACAGGTCCACTGCCCTCTACCCGTTTGCAATGTTTTTCTTTAAATCATGTTCTCTTCAGGGGTAATTTTCATTCCTCTTGTTTTTATCAGTTTAAACATGCATGTTTAAAAACAACCACAATTGAAAACTAGTCGGATTTGAAAATGTCCGCAATGACTAGGGCTCATGGCTTGAAACATGCACTGGCCACTTAATGCATTTCGGTTCCAACGGATCCTATATTATACTGATGTGAACAGGTGCAGTTTAAGATGGAACAAGGTCACCCGGTGAGGTGTAATTAACATGCAACAGGTCACAGGGACGTCACATCTAAACAGGGGGCAAGTTCGGGCGCGAACTATAGTTAGGCCAGTAGTCAGTGGCTTTTAACGATGCACATGCGCTATTAACACTCAAACGATGCCAGTCGGCCTATTTTTGTTTTATCTCATTGCTTCTCAAAGTTCAGCGTAGGCTGCGATTCTCGTCGCGTACAAGGTCACTGAAATCCCGTACACTTATTTTCATGTGAACGGTTCCCCCTGTAATGATAAATGAAATATGTTATTGGTAACCATTGGTGTGACCATGCCCCTGAGCCTGGTCCTAAACGGTCAACTAGACATGTCTGACTGAACACCGTTCGAGCGCTGTTATTCACTCTATAGTCAACTTTAGTCGTCGCTCGATCTTGACCTTTCATTGGATGACACTTTTGCAACAGCGCCATCATGTGGCCCGGCTCCTCTGGTGCGCGATCCTTAATCCAGATTTTTTAGTCTGTCGTTTCTTCCACCGCCCCGTGCAAGAACTTCCCACACCTAGGAAGCGGACATCGCAATCCTCAAGTAGCTGCTGCTTTTTATAAGACTGGTATAGCATTTTCGCACTCGCATGGAATTGCCACTTGTGATCAGTGGCCTAGCAAGTCCTCACTGTTAAGGGGAGCCCTGTGAGGAGAAAAGTGCCGTTGGTTTTGGGAGAATTCTGCGTTAATCTTGGTTTATCCATTGTTTATACTTGTCACCGAATAGAGGAAAAACAAAACAGAATCGAAACTGGGGCTTTAAAGTCATCGATATTTATTAATATGAAAGGGATTTTAGGGATGCAGTAAAAACGTTTTGTCTTAAAATGGACCACTCTTCTTTTTTTTCTTCTTCTTCTCTTTCTTTTTTGAAGATTACGATGGCTTATTCGAGGGTGTCTTCGGCACGATATTGGATCAGTGGTCCAGTGAAGGAAGTTCGAGCGAAGTTGCATAACTCATCAAATTGTGACCAGTGAACATGGTCGTATATCCCGGGGGATGGGGGTATTATATTGCAGTGTTGTAGTACTCGGTACTCGTACTCGAGTACTACTCGAGTACCATTTTCAGAGTACTCGTACTCGTACTCGGATGTCCAAGTACTCGTACTCGAACTACAGTTCTTGTACTCGAGCTGCAAAATACTCGGAACTCGACATCCAAAAATTGTATTCGAGCATCAAAGTGCTCGTACTCGATTAACAGTACTCGATAAAAAAAATCCTTTAAGTTAACTTACCACGCATGGCCGTTAAAATAAGGTACATGTACAAATGACTCCAATGACCCGATATTCGATACGGTTCTGACAACGAGAAGGCCGAACGTGGGACCATTAAAGCATATGACCCATTCGCCGTATGTGCGCGTACTTAACCAATGACGTACGCAAATTATATTGTGGTACTCCAGAATGGTTTCGCGATTTACTTGGGTTCCTGGGTTCCTGGAACTGAAAATTTTAACAACGAACCCAGCACACAGAAAATCACAGGTATGTGAATAATTGAGTCTGGAAAATAGACTTCGCCGCGCTGTGCACGTTGTGTCAACTGCTGCAACGCACGTGTAGTGACCATGACACTGCTTGCCAGATCACTTGTTCTTGTAGCCATGCCATCTGCATTCGGTGTTTCTTTTACACAGTGGCAGGTCTTAAGAGTCTCTAAATGAAGATAAAACTACTTTTGAATTAGAAGTACTTGTACTTGTACTCGTACTCGGAAGTGCAAGTACTTGTAGTTGTACTCGGAAACCAGTACTTGTACTCGGCTGGCAAAGTACTCGCCCTGTCTTTGTACTCGGAAGTCAAAGTACTCGGCAGTACTTGGTACTCGGAAAACATTACTCGACTACAACACTGTTATATTGAACCCCAGCCCAAGCCGACTTTTTCGTGGTAACAAAAACATTAAGGCGGATTTTTCGTAGCATCTAAAAAGGAAGAACTGAAAAGGCCAAATGAGCTGTTTTGATGTAATATTCCGCAGGAATGTAATACATGGTAGATATTTACATATATCATGAACATCGCCCCCATATCAGAAGCCCCTCCTCCGTGTTTCAAATTTTAATGGCAAGGCAGGCCATACCCCTACCTCTCCCCATTCCCAATCCTCGCCTCCCCCCCCCCAAAAAAAAATTCCGGCACAAATTTACGCCACTGTCAGTCACAAACCAAAGTTAAACGGAATCTGTAAAACAAGTGTTGTAAATGATGATTTTGGAACTCGTTTTAACACATGTCCCGAGTAAGTCAATATTGTTGAATAAAGTACGTGTTCTCAATAGAGGTTATGTCTTGCTGGCGTCTCCATCGTGTTTCGTAGGTTGTTTTTGTTATTTCAGTTTAGTTACAACGAATGCACAAAAGGATTTACTCAAGCGTATCCCAGTGCAAAGACTTTTGGGTGAACCCTCGCGAATAGGTCAGAAATATGTCCACCATGCTATATTATTAAAGTTACTGAAAATATTCTACATTAGAGAGTCCTGAGAGCCATGGAATTGGGGAATTGAAGGAATATGAGCAATTTGGATGCAGTAGGGTCCGAAAGTGGCACTATTTAGCTGTTTTGCAACGGGATGCATTTTCAAAATGGCTGCTTTTCCTGCAGTGAATTTCCCTTCATTTTAGGGGTCGTCTGCTATGGTTGAGAATTTCTGAAAAATTCAGCGATCAACCCACTAAGAATTAAAAGGAAAATGAAAGAAGATATGTCAAATACAATTTTTCTGTCCAGCATGGAAACCTTTGATAGTTTTGAGTATTTTTAAAATAAGTTTGAGATGAAAAGATTTATCAGTGGTGTGTATTTGAATTTATTGACAATGATGGCGGCCATGTTGTTTTGGTGGGGATTTAAAAAGTACATTTTCCTCTTTTCTCTGTAAAAAGTTCAAATTGAGGCAAAATACATGTCAAAACATATAATTTTCACTCTGGTACTTTTGAATTCCAGGTTTTTATTGAAAAAGGAACAGAAAAACAAGCACTGTGGTGTAAACATTTACCGGTGAGTGAACCATAATACAACATAGTAAACACTGAATCAATCACCGTATAGTTTCTGCTTACTTGCTTTCATCTTGTTTTCATTGAGATGGGAAACGGACACGGCATCTTTTGTTAGATTAAAACAAGTAAATCCCAATTTTCTGCTTGTAAAAAGTTAATAGTGACTTGTGATAAAATCGAGGACACAGAGGGTGGGCAGCATGTCTCGGGTGAAGAGTTTGGTTTCAATGATAGAGGGGTCTGTTTTTCCACAGTAATTAGCACTCGGTCAAAGGTAGACATAGCAAGGGCCCACAAGTCGCAGTGTTACGTAATAAGTTGACTGTTCTCAAACAGAAGGGGTATCTCGGATCATAAAGGCGGTTGGCCAAATGATACCCCTGTGTGCGTATAATATTTTAGATAAGCGACCGCTATGAAGCTGTGAGCGTTTTTGCCATTCTAAACCCTCGGCATATGAAGCAAACTATAGGACAGAGAGAACCTCCCCCCCCCGCCTTTGTGTTGGTCATTGATATACTGGTATCTCAGGAATTCTTTTCAGACATCTAGGGGGGTGTGTGTTAAGTAACAATACGTTGGAGTGTGTATTGGAATTGACCTTGGGGGTACCCCTCTGTCCCATTTCGTGCCTGTATAACCAACCTTCGGGGCTATAATTTGCAATAACCCGTATGAAGGCAAACCACGGTTCACAACCATGCACAAAGCATAACATATATGGTGCTCAACCAACCATGAAAACTTCACCTGTGAAATTAGGCTCCTGTAACATTCGGGCTTTATTTTCCTGGAAAAAAAACCTCCTTGTTCACAAGTTCGACCCAGGATTCGTACCCACGTCCCACTCATCACAAACCATTATGCTGTAAACGCTTGACTACCGCAGTTCACACAAATTAGTGGTGTTTTTACTGTTGAAAAACCGATGAACGGCTGCAAGGCGAGTCTAATATTGCATTGGACATGCGCATATATCAATACATACACGACCACCGTGGTGGTTTTGCTTCATTTGTGTGGTTGCATATTCGGTTTGCCTTCATGATGGCGTCTTTGTCCAGTTCACTGCGATACTTGGTGCCCGTTTTGATTGCTGCCTACGCTGTGTATTACTGGTACGTGTTCGCCCGTCTGAAGTACTTCACTGGCGATGTTGATTTGAAGGGGAAGACTGTCATCATAACAGGTATGTTGATCCTTGAACCCAGATGACTTCCAGATGAAACGAGATATGGGACGGAGAGTAACCTCCCACACGCACCCTTGTGTTGGTCATTGTTTGATCGGAATCTCAGTAATTCTTTACAGACATAGGGGGATCTGTATCTGCAAAGCATCCTGGGGACCCATCACACCAACTGCATTAGGTTTACGCCTCATTTGGGGAGATTGACGCCAAATTGAAAACAACCTTTCGATGAAAATATTGCCCGACTGCCTCCTTGAATGCTGACACTGATGTTGCATTGACCACCGATTGTGGTATGTTGTTCCAAACCCTAACTGTTCTGGGGAAGAAGGTATTGTCAAAAACCTTGCTATGAGAACGGATTTCCAATTGTTTTGTTTTGGGTTTTTTTTGGTGGGGGGGGGGTGTATGACCCCTGGACTCTAACAGTGAAAAGTAACATTTGGAGTGAGGATACCATCAGACTGAACATCGACCAACTTATTGATTATCTGGAATATCGTCTTTATGAATTTCGGTTGTAAAGACACTCTGAAATTGCTGATTTAATAAATTGCCTTTCGCTTTGCAGTCGCTTATGATGTGCTCGCCATCTTTCAGATCAGACACTCCAACATTTTCCTTCTGAACCTTCTTAATGAATGACCAGAAGGTTTGGGGATTTGCCTTAAAATTTTCGTGGAGATATGAATTTAGATACTGAGTTCTTGCTTTGCGGAGATGATTTTTCATAGCCTTGTGAGATTGTCGGAAGGCTTACCAATCTTCTTCCTTTTTTCCCTTTTTTGCTTTCCTGTAGAGACGTGTTTTTCTTCTGTATTCTCTTTTAAGATCATTGTTGAACCATGGTAGATTATATCTACTTGATGTGAACTTGTGGGGTACATGCTTTTCCAAAAGATCAAGCATTACCTGTTGGATGTGCTTCCGTTTAAAATCTGGTAATTTACCTTCTGTGTTTGCTTTTTACCTCATGTAAACTTTCCTCCTGAGTTGCTTCTTCCTCTTTGGAGTTACATCGACGTCGACTGAAACCATGTCGTAGTCAGAAATTCCTTCTACAATCTCAATGTTCTTAATTACAATCTGGTTATTCAAAAGAAGATCAAAGATATTACGTGCATCTCCCTGTGACGGACTAAGCTCTTTGACACGTTGCTTGAAGCCATTCAGTAACCATCTTTATGAACTTATCTCCAGCCATCTTGCTGTAGCCTTGTGATCCGGTAATAGTGTAATTATTCCTGTTTTTATTTGGCAGGTTAAAATCTAACAAATTAACAACAACATTAGAGTTTATTTTCCCTTTAAATACAGCCACAGATTTCGTCAGCTCGTCAATTTGTAGACCAAGTTTGTCGATAATATGTTCCAATCACGACTGCTTTGGATTTGCTATTTTTGGTTTCCGTCCATATAACTTCACAGTTACTATCCATGTTGGAACATTCATTCATTGAAACTGCCTGGTCCCCCCCCCCATCCTGTGGTGTTTTGTATCTCTATCCTTCCTAAAGACTTTGTAGTTAGATTATATTTCGCCACTCCCAATAGTTGAATTAAGCCTGTACCACAAATAGTATCAGGTTGATTCACCTTTATGAGGACTTTTAGATCAGCAACTTCCTCCGCGATTTGCAATACAGCACAGTCAATGGATTTGCATTGCAGTTGGCCTCCCAAGTACCGTTGGCTGACAACCATCTACTGTTCAAAATCAATAGACGAAAGACCAAAATTAAGAACCGAAGCAAATAAAAGACTTAAAAAATGACGAGAACGAATTAAAAACACGTCCTCCCCCGATGCGTGCTCAAACCACTATGTGTAGGTAACAATAGTCTGGAGTGTGTATAGGGATTGGACATATAACTTGGGGGTAACCCTCCGTCCCATATCTTGCAAGGTATATCCGAGGGGTGCAGTGAACTAACTTCATTGAAAACAGTGTAAGATCAGCAAAGTCCAGGTTTCTGTAGCATGGATGCCAACAGCACTGGGGATTCTCAAACAAACAAAAATTCAACTTTCGTCCCATCCTTAACTTTTCCTTTTCTTTTCAATTTTTAGCGGGTGTTCCAATTCTGTTTTAAAGTACATATATTCGCATAATTCTCCCTGGCTAGGTATAGTTTCTAGACCTGCAAGCGGCCATTTTTTCATATGCCATCCTTCAAGTGTCTTAAGGTACTGGCGACCATTCTTCGACCGCTAGTTTTATCAACCCTGCCCTCCGAGACAAAAGCCCTGAAACCAGGAAGTTGATTCTGCCCAATTGTTCACACACTCCCAAGATTTTTTTTTCGGCCAAACAATCCTTTTCAAAAGAAATTGTCAACTGTCAATGTTCATGCTAGTGAACTCAGCAGAACTTACCAGTGAGCCTTTTGCGAGTTAAACTTTGGGTAAAATCTGGTACACTGAGTTGTCTGATCGCACATAATTTGAATTCCCCTGACTATTGGCGTTGTTGCTATACCTCGTGATTCTGAGCAAGCTTTTGCATAGCAACCACCACTTCTGGAATGGACTGGTTCCTTTGTGCCCTTCTTTTCCATTGAAAACAACATATTAAGGGAAGGCGTCTCTCGTGTAATTAAGGAAAACTTGCTCCGAATCACAAGGTTGGTATAGAGGGATCCCAATACGACACTTTTAGCGTCGGTTTGTGCACTTCCGCGTTTGAAAACGAGGCTGTATGTGTCAGCTTCAAATCTAAATACGATCAGACGATTGAAAGTAAGGAGTCAAGACACAAAATACATAAATTATGTTAAATTCAGACTTTTCAGGCTCCAAACACGTCAAATCAAACAAAAAATAACGGCAATTTACCGCGAACTAATCGCGTACCTGCGATGGTTGTGTATCTGCATTTGCAGTGGGCGTGGTTTAAACTGAAGTGGCATCACTTACGAACCGGATGCTGCATTTACTGTGCCGACTCCGCGGGCGCGCGAGAGGAAGTTCAACATGGAGTGC